CTGCAAGAAGATAATCTATATAATAATGAGAAATAAAATTTCAACATGAATTAGAAGTTTTTAACTTCTAGATTGTCACCCAAAATGTGTCTCCAATCCACTGGATCTCAAATTTCTGTGTGCATTAGGATTACTAGAAAGGCTTGTTAAAACACAAACTCCTTTATCCTCTCCCAGATTCTTCTGATTTAAGAGGTCTCTAGTGAGGTCCAGAAACTTACATTTATTTCTAACGAATTCGCAGGTGCTAATGCTGCTCGTTTGGAGACCATATTTTGAGAAGCACTGCTCTTACCTACTGTCTATTATCAAAAGATTGTGACTCAGGGTAAGACAAAATGGCAGAAAGCATTCCTTTTTTATATATATATAGAGAGAGAGATCGGTTTGGAAATCCTTTAAAAATGAAAATATCTGAAAAAAAATGAAAATATATGTCAAGTCGTAAGCTCACTCACTGCAGAGATGGTATTCAAAATAAACGTAAATGCAACACTTTATTAAAGTAAAAGTATCTTTACTATTAATATACAAATGGTGAAGAGTGACAATTTTGATATACTATAAGCCATACTTTCAATGTCTCTCATAAATACAAAACTTCAACAGTTGCAGTATAATTTTTACAGTTTAGACATATATATATACAGCGTTTCATAGGGACATACCATATTGAAACAATAAGAAAACTTTGTGGTAGCTAACTTAAGAATATAGAATTTGAATGGATATATACGTTAAAGAAAATAAAAGTATGTTTTAATGCACACTTAACACAGCCTAGAATTCATACACCAAAAGGAAAAAAAGTTTCTTTAACTTTATTTGTAAGAAGTTCACATATTCTTAACAGAGTTTAGAGACAAAAATGCTAAACCATGAACATTCTTTTAAGAATTGGAACAAATATATTTGCTCTTAACAATACCATTTATTGTATATAATGCATATTGTTCTTGAAAAAAATCCTATCCGCAACATTGAATATTAGGTTCTATGTTATCTTTCTCCTCTGTATTTCACTCAGCTTTCTCTTTGCATCAATATAATTGGCCTTAACTGTTATCTAAGCAGTGTTTCCTAATCCCTGGTCCAGCACTTTTCACACTAACATCCTTCCTATGTAAGAGTTCAGTTTGCCTTTCTTGATTCTTTCAGTTCCTTGTTCCTCTATTTGCCTGTGCCTGGCTGTGATTTGAAATGCTCCAAGTAATTGCATTGCTTATTTTTTCCCAAAGAAGGCTAAAACCAGATGCAACTTTTAGTGTGTTACGTGTTTTTGTTTTAGAAAAAAAAAGTGGCAATATTAAATTTATATAACTAATTTTATATTAATAATTACAAACATGCTGTGGTGAAAATCCTAAAAATTATATAAAAAATTAAAGTGGTGGTACCAGGCTAAGGTATTTAAGTAATTGATAAAATTCCATAGTGAATAATAAGCTATATTTTAAGAATATTAAATGTGTTATCAAATAAATATTAAACATATATAATACAAAAGTTTATGAGGGGAAATAATCTATTGCATTCTCATATAATGTTGTTAAACAGATGCATCTACATGGGTAAATGCAATTTTTAAAAAAGGGGAGGAAGGACCTGGAAGGAAATTGTATTTGTTCAGCAAGTACTACATCTAGGCTCTTTTATGTTTCCCATTTACACATATAATTGTTTCATCTCAGAACATGATTAAGCCCATGAGTAGGATACTTTCTTGAAAGATTTTCATTTTAGGATTGAAGTACTTCATTTTTGTGACCTCCTATAGTTTAATTTTAGCATACCCTAATACTTCCATATGCAATTTCAGTGTGAGAGACAATATAATAATGCTTCAAAGGATTAATACAAAGATTCAAATCTTTCCTCTCTAAAGATAAATAATGTAAACAATTCATTTAAAAAAATAGCTTCACCCACTCCTAAAGTTTGTTGAGTAAGCACTCTGGATATGATTGTGAGAAAGAACTCCATGAGCAACTGAAATTGAGCAAGTACATCATTCTTCATGAAAAAGGAAATTGCAACTTTAATAAGTAATTGTAATATGCTATTCCAATATTTCTTAAATTAAGAAATGGAGATTATTCTTTCTATCACTTCAGTTGTACATATTTTTATCAGAGTTTATCTTCCCATCAACGATAAAGAATGATGTATGGTGCCCAAACAAATGTACAACAGGATAATGTAGACCCAAGTGACACTAAAATAATTTACCCTATCTTAAAATGTCATCTGTTGTCATTGTCTCATAAGTGGTAGAACACAATTTTAACGATATCTAGAATGTATTTATTATCTAAAACACTACAGACAAAATGAAATATATTTTATGTGTGTATCAAAAGAATTTCTTTGCCATAAGTGAAAATAAGTTACACAGTATAATTTGTTATATTTAGATTTTCCATTCAAGGTAAAGTAATTTGAATTGAGCTTATTCACTAAATGTAAATAAAACAGTCCATTTAAGTGTCACAGATACGAGCAAAATATACCAATAAAGATTGCAGTTGTTTTTTTTTAATAAAGCAGATGTCATGCTAATCCAAAGGCACAAATACATCTTAATTATTTAAAATAAGAAACATAAAATAAAGGTAAGATTATAAAGTTATAATTAATTGTTGGCACTCAAATAAATAATCTTATTAATAAAATCTTTCTATTTATATAAATGTTAAATCAAAGACTAAGATTCATGTAAAGTTTGCTGGATCAAATAGTCTTTGAAAAATGCTTATATAGGTATTAATATTAAAAATAAGGGAAAACTAGAGAAACATTACATTAATGTTAGACTTAGCATCAATAGAATGGCAATAAATCAATCCACAAAAATAATAAACTTTTAGAAGTCACAATTCTAAATTCTTTTGCTGATCATTGTAAAATGCGTTGACACATAAATTTGTGCCAGTTTTAAAAACAAAATATTTATCAAAATGCTGATATTACTGTTCTTTCTTATATGTTGTTGAATATAGATTGTCATTGCCTAATTGCACATAACCTATCAAGAAATACCAATATTTTCAGTGATATTTTTCTTCTTTGTTTGAATTAGCATAGGGTTCTTATTATTTAACCCTACATATTATATTCAGTCAACTCTTTTGACATTTTATACTAACATTTAAGAGTACTCTCAGACAGTAGAAATAATATTTATACAGTTATGTGGCATGTTTAATCTAGAACAAGAATGAAAAATAAGAACAGATTATTTCAGTTCTACTCATATTTTACAATTTACTACAAGAATCTCTTATTTGGAAACTTTTACAAATAGAGTAAGTTGGAGCATTCCATTGAAATGTTATTATTTTTTTAAATCACAGTATTGCCTTGCTTCTGAATGGCATAGATTTCAAAGACAAGAGATAAGGACCACCCAGACAACTGAAACAGTGCACTTGAAACAGTCTGTCTACAATTAGTTTCAAATTATCTGCTAACCTCAGATCATTATTCCACATTAGTGGCAAGAAATTTAACAGCATATATATGTATATGTATATATAGATATGTATATATATAAAAGAAATATTTAAGTAAATTGCTTTACATGGAAAGTCCAAAGAAACGAGAGAGACAGAACTTTCAAATTGAAGAAACACAAAAATATTTGTTCTTTATTATGATTTCTCTGCTCTTGAAGTATAGCACAAATATAATAGTAAACATGCTAAACTGGTTTCTCAGTTTTCCTAATTCTTCCACCATTATTAGTTTAAAACCAGCCCTATCCAGGAAAAATTAGCATTCATGGCTATTGCTTCATGGACATTTTACTATGCTTGTTTACTTTGCACAAACAAATTCAAGTACTTTGACTAGTTATAGCACATTGGTACAAAAGGGGGAAAAACAGTCAAATAAAGCAAAGAGATGATCAGAGAAACATGAATTAAATAGCAACAGTCAAATCCATCAAAAGACCAGGTGGATAATTTCTATTCAAATTCCTAGGTAGGCACAGGAATTCTTTTTCTTCAGAATATGCCAGAAAAAAATATCAAGGGGAGATTCCTGCACTATAATCCTGTGAATTATGGCAACAACACTGGAGATTTAGTGCATGAACGTGCAGATGGACACATTCTGTGCTGCTAATAACTAAAGGTTTGTAAAATTAGTTGGTTGTCTCTCCTTGCCTAATAGTTTCAAGCACTTTGTAAATAAAAGTGTTCATGAGTAGCATTAATATTGCATTTAATATATCACCAAATTATCTCTATAGAGAGACACGGGAAGAAGGTTGACCTGCACTGTTAAAACTCTCCTCCAATGTTCTATTGGTATGCATTCCCCAACCAGTCAATATTTGATCTATAATACCACCTGAAACACTAAAGATTATGGATGTAATGGGGCCTAAAGAAACCTTTGGCTCTCTAGGGTAACAAATAATCTAAAACCTGCTCCCAACTGGTATGTATATTTATAATCATAAATAACATTTATTTTACCTTACATACGAGTGAAAATCATGTTTTAGTCTTTTAGCTCTCCTCTGGGAGCTTGCATAGCTTGGAAGTTCATAAGTATTTTATTCTGGTACAGGCCCTAAAAGTAATATTAGAAAGTTTGTGTTGAATAGCCGAGGAATTTCTTCAACCAAAGTTGTTTATCAAAATCTTAAAGTGACTTCGAGCTACAACGCCCAAAAGAAAAACAGATAGTGGCAATTCAGTTGTTTATCACTGACACTTTTATGGCATGTTTACATGTTACTTTCTTCTTTATTTAACCACTAAGAATTTTAATTTCCATTAGCCAATTACATTTAATGATGATTCCCTGTAACACTGGGAAAATGAATTTTTAAACCAAGATTATCTAAAACAGTGGTCAAAAAAATGTATCTGAGGATATGGTTTGAAATATTTCAACACTAAGGACTTACTTTTTTGATAAAATTATTTTAAAGGTAAAATATAATCACATATTTATAAATATATCAAGACAACATTGATATTGTTACCATTTCAATTTACTTTATTTGAAGCTGAGGGCAGAAATCAATATTATTTTCACTTGCAATACATTTATTTTTTGTGTAATCCATTGTGAGTGATTATGGCATATATAAAGAGAGAGATTTACGGAATCTTTCTAATCTAATTTTACACACAACTGATATTCGTTCAAATGGGTAACAATTTTGATCTGGCAATTCAGTCTATCAAAACTTAACATCCAAATAGCACTGTAACTATAACTTAGAATTTTCCAAAGTTTCTCTCAATTTTTAATATCTGCTAAAGATAACTGGCTCCTTCAAGCCCAAGTTCCCTGAAATTCTCCTGATAATTATTAACTGTTTTCATCTTAAACTGAAATCCACGTTAATAATCTGTTTACCCAAGATAGGATGAAAAACATGCAGGGCTTTCTTATACATTTAGCTCACAAAGCTTTTTTTTCCTTAAACCCCTATTTGTGGGAGAGGTTGTCGATGAAATATATAGTCCTTAAGAAACAGAGCACTTTAGCTGTATAATAAATTGCAGTATTTCAATCACAGAATCAAATTGATACCCAAGAGTTGGTGCCAGTCAGGTCTCTATATTGAAATTCATAACAAAATAAACAACAACAATAACAACAACAACAAAAGGTAATGGAACATGGGCAGGAATATTTGATCATATGTATATGTGTACAAGCTATTCCAAGCTAGAAGTTTCCCAAGAAATTAAGGTAAATGGAATAGTTTTGGTCATAGGGTCACTGCAATCCAAATGCTCTTTGTAGCATGTTCAAGCCTCTGTGATCTTGGTGTTATGCTTTGCTATCGTCTTCTTTTGATTGTATGATGTCGTTAGAAACCTTAATTTCTATAGTTTCTGGATTTAAGACTTCTTTTCCATTTTCTTCTTTTAAAGGCAATTTTCTGGAAGGAAGTATAAAATAATGAACTTCATTTTCTAATGCAGTTTGAGTGGTACTCCCTAATACTAAGTTACTGCCTTATAGAAGTCAATATCTACAATTATTAGAATGAAAAAAATCAGATTTGTTAAAGTAATATCAAAATGATAGAAAAATAATTAGACAATATTATCCATTGTAAAAATGTGATGTACTGCAAAATGATGAATGAAACAATTTGTAGTTTTAGATGAACCAAATCGTTCACTATAGGGTGGCTTAGATTTGGTAACCAGTTATTGATACATAAAATAGAATTGTTTAGAATCTAAACAAGCCAGCATTTTTTTTTTTTTTTTATTCATGAGACAGAAAGAGAGAGAGAGGCAAAGGGAGAAACAGGGTCCCCATGGAGCAGGGAGCCCAATGCGGGACTCTATCCTAGGATCCCGGGATCATGACCTGAGCCAAAGGCAGATGCTTAACCGACTGAGCCACCCAGGCCCCCACAAGCCAGTATTTTTATATGTCAACTAGATGAGTTACTACTTCCTAAGTTTTTTCAAATAAAAATCATTAATAGTTGCTGCCATATTCTGTTACATACTTCAAAAGCTGGGGGAATTAGCTATGTTCTTTGGAACTTAATGAAAGTAAGCGGCGCCTGGGTGGCTCAGTCGTTAAGTGTCTGCCTTCAGCTCAGGTCATGATCCCAGGCTCCTGGGATCGAGCCCTGCATCAGGCTCCCTGCTCCGCGGGAAGCCTGCTTCTCCCTCTCCCACTCCACCTGCTTGTGTTCCCTCTCTCACTGTCTCTCTCTCTGTCAAATAAATAAAATCTTTAAAAAAAAAAAAGAAAGTAAATATATTTCAGGACTTTCTCACTTTTTTACATTTATTGTATATGTTTTCTTTAATTGGTCTCTTTTCACTATTATTTTTGTTGTTATTTTTGTATCATTTATATGCACATTTTTTAAGAATTGCTTTCAATTATAACCTATGAAGGAAAACAAGCTTGCTTGCTTGCTTTCTTCTTCTTCTTCTTCTTCTTCTTCTTCTTCTTCTTCTTCATCTTCTTCTTCTTCTTCTTCTTCTTCTTCTTCTTCTTCTTCTTCTTTTTAAGATTTTACTTATTTAGTTGAGAGAGCAAGAGCAGGGGAAGGGGCAGAGGGAGAGGGGGAAGTAGACTCCCCATTCAGTGGGAAGCCTGATGCAGGGCTTGATCCCAGGAGCCTGGAATCATGACCTGAGCTGAAGGCCAACACTTAACTGACTGAGCCACTCAGGTGGCCCTTTATTTTTTAACAATAGCTTCACAAATCTTACTATGATGACAATGATTCAAGATGTATAGTTTTTTCTACCGGTCTTGAGTCCAATGGTTTATGATTATGCCTTATTTACACAGCTTTGGGGGGAAGATTTCCTCCCTTGACAAAATATTTTTTCCACATCAAAAACAAATTCCAGTTCAATTCCGTACTTTAAGGTCACAATTTTGTGGGGTAGTGAATGCTACTATGCTAGTTTCTCTGGGATTTATGTGTGATTTCTTTTCTGTTTTTGAATGAGAAGAGCAAGCCATTATGTTCTGAAGATCAAAGCTTTTATGTGAAAATTAACCAATTACAAGTAAGTCATGGGTAAATGTTACTATGTCGCATTGCTGGGAAGGAAACAGCATCTACTTTATACCTATTAGGGCAGGCTATTTTATGCGTATTATAAATAATGCTTTCACAGTCCTTCCGTTCACCCACTCCCAAGTACGGCAAATATTGATAATAAAAGATAAAATCAATAAGGTCACTTCTAAGCAGCAAAATGTAGAGAAATTTAGAGCTTGGGTGGGAGGTTAGCATAATACTTAATATATTTTTACTCAAAGAATTTTAACACTGGAATTAACCAGTGTTTTCAACTAATTCTTGGATGACGAATTTTTGCATGCATAGTTTTCACTACTTACATTTATGTTAAATTGCTTTCTTTAAAGATTACAGTTAATTCTATTATTTTTATGTTGAGTATTTCTTTTCTATAATTGAGGATTGGAGTAGTTATTAGATCATCTTTTTTTGTTTTTGCTTTATTTTTTGTATTTTCAAGTTTTTATTTAAACTCCAGTTAGTTAACATATAGTGTAGTATTAGTTTTGGGAGTAGAATTTAGTGATTCATCATTTACATATAATACCCAGTTCTTAGCTAGTTTTCATACGCACCAATCTCTCATTGTAAGTGTTAATCAACAGATAGAAATGTGTTTTATGTGTAAAATTTTGCTTCATTGAAAAGACTTCTAACTTCTGAAGGAAAAACCATAGAACCCACCTTGTAAAAGCTGCCTCTACAAGAGTAAACTTCAATTTAGAAGGTAATAATCTCTAAATGCAGTCACTGACATGACCTGAGGATTTATACGAAAATTTAGCTACAGAGTAATACTTTGTATTTCTCTAAATAGTAATTATTTCAGCCCCTTGAGAGCAGATAGCAGACGTTTCTGAAATAAGTTATTTTCTTCACTTGTGACAACACACAGCCTTCCATTTAGGATGAGAAACCCAAATCAAATTTCTCTGTAAGTGTTTGCTGGTAAAGAAAAAGGAATCCTTAAAAAAATAAACAAAAAAAAACCCAATATAATTTAGAAGTAATTTTAGTGAGCAGTATTTAAAGAATAATGTGATAGTCATGGTTTTGTTTGTATTCAATATATTCCATAGAATACTATTATCACTCCTTAGTAATGTCTTTGGCTTTAATCATTTTAACTTTCATGTTGTCTGAACATCATCTTTGCACATGTTCATCATCTTTGCAGATTTAGTTGAAATATCTGCTATGGCTATAATGGAGCTCTGATGGGTATAGAAAGAAGTAAATAATATAATCTTGAATGGAGAGCAAGCACCATTTCCTATATAGACATTAAAATGATAGACAATTTGGGATGTCTGGGTGGCTCAGTCGGTTAAGCATCTGCCTTTGGCTCAGGTCATGACCCCAGGGTCCTGGGATCGAGCTCGGCATCAGGGACCTTGCTCAGCAAGGAGCCTGCTTCTCCCTCTGCCTGCCTCTGTCTCTCTCTCTCTGATAAATAAATAAAATCTTTAAAAAAATAAAAAATGATAGACAATTTAACAGTATTTCTTCTTCTTTCTAATGAATATTCTTTCTTTTTAAAGTAGACTTGTGTACATTTTCACACTATTAATTTTTATTTTAAATTGTGATATTCATATTCAGAGTAATGGCTAATTTCCTGACCCTTTTATATTTCAGTAAAAATCACATTTTGAAAGTATCACTTTCTTTTTTTAAAGATTTATTTTTTTTATTTTTTATTTTTTTTAAGATTTTATTTATTTATTTGAGAGAGAGTGAGAGAGCAAGCAGGGCTGGGGCAGAGGAAGAAGCAGATTCCCCATTGAGCAGGGGCCCCAAAGCTGGACTCAATCCCAGGACCCTGGGATCATGACCTGGGCCAAAGGTAGATGCTTAACCACTGAGCCACCCAGGTGCCCCTTATTTATTTATTTTAGAGAGAGAGAGGAGTGCATGAGTGGGGGAGGGGCAAGGGCAAAGGGAGAGGGAAAGAGAATCTCATGCAGACTGCCCACTGAGTACAGAGGCAGACACAGGCTCAATCTCACAACCCCGAGATCATGAGTTAAACTGAAATCAAGAGTCAGATACTTAACTTTAACTGACTGAGCACTCCTGGTGCCCTGAAAGTATCACTTTCTTAAAAAGTAAAATAAGTGTAAGAAAATCCAACTCTAACATGATCCATCTTTTTGACATTTTTACATAAAATTATAAATATGTGTTTGAACAGTAGATTTTCTCTGGCATTGATATAAAATTTTCATATGTAATGTCTCTCTAGAAAATGGTTTTCGATATTCTCATCTATTTTCTTTGAAAAAGAAATATTTTTCTACTTGATGTTATTTGTAAGTATATGCTACAAGGAATGATAATGTTATCATTTTACAAATATTTATCCAAAAATAATAAAGCATTTGAAGCTACTTACTCAGGTTCTGTTAGTGGTGTGGTTTCATTTGGCTCATTTACTGGGCTCCCATCCTCATGATTAGTGATTCTTTCATCCTCTGTTCTCATCTCCACTATTGGTTCTTTCGATCCATCTTTCCTAGAAAAATAAACAAACAAGAAAACCTTACTTATGTAATGTAAAAATAGATGCATTACATAGTTTAGAATCTCCACATAATCCCACCTCCCCCTGCCAAAAATTCAGCATGGTCAGATTAAGAATACCCTAAGAATTTTTTTTTTTCATTTAAATTCATCTCAACCACATAATTTTCACTCAGAAAAAATAGAAAGGAGAAATTCCATTTTATCTAGGATTCTTTTTTTTCATCAAAATTGTGTTAATTTTTTGGAAAAGTCCAAATTTTAAATTTGATTGTGCAGTTTATTTTGGAAAATAAATAAAAAATATTTTGTTAAAGGAAATTATGACATGAAATAGCTTTTCCCCCCTAAGAAGCCATATGCTTTAGATTTTTTTAATTTGAAATATAGCATCAGAAATATTGCTTCTATATTAATATTTAGAAGATAAAATTTATATATATGAGATGTAGCATTGTTTTAAATGTTTTTTATGAATTATATGAATGATTTTAACTTTAATATGATATTGACTTTACATATTCATGTTTTCAAGAAAATAGTTTACATAAAAACAATATTATAACACATATGCATGATGTTTTCATTTGTAATTTCAAATCCATGTCATCTTTATTGGATTTTTAAAATATGAGAATAAGTGTAATTTTACATAATTGTGGAATTTTCATAAAATTAGAAAGTTGACTGCAAAGTTTCATTCCTCAAAAAATGAACAAAAAGAAAGAAAAACAAGGAAGGCATTTAGTGATGATAAAGGGTAAAGTGAGATAAAAGCGTTGAGAATGATACACTCATAATGCAGATTATAATTATGGCACAAATACAAAAAAAAAATGTAAGGGAGGGATAGGGGTCCTCACATACCCAGGGACATAGTCTTACCATACAATCTTGCAACTGTACTCTAACATATTTACCCAAATGAACTGAAAACTTATGCCCATGCAAAAATCTCCACATGAATGTTTATAGAAGTTTTATCATAACTGCCCCAAATTGGAACCAACTAAAATGTCCTTCAACGGGTGAATGGATAAACAAACTGTGGTACATCCATACAATTGGTTATTATTCAGCAATAAAGAGAAATGAGCTATCTAGCCACAAAAAGACCTGGGAGAACTTTAAATGCATATTCATAAGGAAAATAAGCCAGTCTGAAAAGGCTACATACTATGTAATCCCAATTACACTGAATTCTGTAAAAAGCAAAGTTATAGAGAAAATAAAAAGATCACTGTTTGCCGGAGGTTGAAGGTGAGGGAGTGATGTAATGATGGAGCACTAGGCACATTAAATCTATTTAATATTGTAATGACAAATATATGACATTAAAATTAGTTCTTAAAAATCAAGTAAACTAAGAGTACATACAAAATAAATCAAACAACCAAACCCCAACAATGGCACAAATATTTAACATACCTTACAAATGCTGACTCTCAAACAGGAAAATATTGAGAATGATAAAAAACTTTTGATCAGGTGGCAGGTTTGATATCGCTCTTATTTCAGTATGTAGGTCCTTCACATACATACACTTCAAAATCTGACGAATGGATGTTAATAGAAATGGAAGAAAACCTAGAACTCTATAATCTAGAGTTAATAGTGAAGAACCTTTTATACCTCTAAAATGCAAATGTCTGTGAGACCTGGTGATTCTGATGTGTTCAGCAACCTGAATAGGGACTCCAAGGAAGCAAAATCTATATAGTAGTAAAGATGATTAAAGAGCCCACCACCATTAAATTTTAGTTTTATGTTGTTTTGTTTGCTATTGTTTTTTGCAAACAAGAAACAACAGCAATGATTGATTCTTTTAAAAAATTCTTTATGATATCAATGCCCTTGATGACATAGAGGATGATACTGTTTGGAAAAATGTGGCTATTGCTGACTTTGAGCAAAAAAGTGATTCAAAGTGTTGGATTTTATGTTTATATTAACAGGTGCAGATCTAGGGGTGTGAATTAAATAAAATAGAATGCAAAAAAAAGAAGATAGTGAATTTGGATTTTAATTGTATCCTCCTTATTGAAAATAATACATAAGCAAACCACTTTAAACTAGAAATAATAAAATAAACATTACTAAAAGGAAATTAAAAGAGTTACAAGAGAACATGGGTGAGTTGTCTTAAAATCCTTATCTTTGTTTTTAGTGATCTTTTACATTTTTAATTAGCTAGTGTATTCATATATTACAGAATTCTACAAAGGGTATATAGAGAAAGGTACACTTCCCTACCATTCCTATTTACAGGATATTAAGTTACCTATCATAGAGGCAAGCACATTTTCAAACTGTTTTCCAGAGACATTCCTTCTATTCATATACTAGCATATATGCGTGAAAATGCAGGGAGTTATTTTTATACAAATGGTACATACTAACTGAATATAATTTTGCCTTTTCAATGAACGCTAGAACATTTAGAGCTGCCTCTTTCTTTTTCATGGCACATACTATCCCATTGTATGTATGCACTATATATTTGGCCAGTGTCCAACCAACAGACATTTAGGTTGTTTCCAATATCTTCTATTACAATAAATACTATAAGGAGTATGAAATGCATATTTTCCTTACCCTTAGGTGAAAATATCTGAAGCACACATATAATTTCCATGAGTCTAATGCCTCTCTTGTATAAATTATATTTAATTATACTTGAAATGATATCAGAATTATTACTGATATTTTCTGTCGAATTATAAAAAAAATGGTAAGGCGATATTTTATTTAAATTGGCATAAAAATGTATGCCACAATTTATGGACAATTTCACAATCAATAGACTGGTAAAAACTAAATAAATTCCTGCCGGGTTTCTAGAACTGATTATTGAGCAGGAAATGACAAGTACAGCAGAAGAGTTAAAATGATGTGCCCTGGGACCAAACTAGCTGACTCTCACTAACTCATGGCATAAGCATTTCTCTGTCCTGTTGCCTGGATAGTAAAACAGAGATGATATGACACCAAACTAATTTCCTCAGTGTTTAGAATAGTGCCTGACATATATGCGCTGAATCAGTAACTGTCTTCAGTATTCTAGGAGGGCAAGGAGGATTTATGTAGGGAAATACATTACTAAAACTTGCAACTTCAACTAATTAAAGGAAAAAAAAATGAAAATATCTCAAAACACACTAAGAAAGAAAGATTCATAAAATTCATCGGTTCTCAAATAAAAATGGAAAGTATTCATATAATTAATGGCATCATAAGCAAAACTCAAACTTTGAAATAGACTGGGGAAAATATTTGCAACAAATATGATGTCAAATAATTAAGGGTCATATTATATAATTTAAAAAGTTAGAGAAAAGTTAAATAACTCCATGAACATGTGTACAGAATATGAACAAGAAACTCCCTGAAGAAATAAAGTGACCAAAGAGAAATCATAAAACAAATAAGCTCAGACTTAACCTGGATCAGAAAAATGCAAATTTTAAACGATATCTTTCACTTATTATATTGACAAAAATAAACATAAATTGATAATATTTAATGTTTGTTTAAAAAGCTATAGAGAAATATATATTCTCTGATTTTATTAACAGTATGAGTTAGTATAGAATTTTGTGGGCAATTTGTTAGTATTTTTCAGTTTTGATTTACATTCCCTGTCTAGGAGCATAATGTACATTTACAACAAGATTTATATAAAAGTTAAGTTCAAACTCATATTATACTTCAATATGATAAAATATTGAAAGTTTCATCTAAATTGTCATCAAAGACAAGGGGATAAATGCATTATGGTAATTGATATTATAGAATACTACTTATTTATAAAAAGAATGAGCCAGAAATTTACATGCTGAAAAGGTACCTTTTGAAGCTTCATTGCTATCTGAGAAAACATTGCAATAATAGATGTACATATATATGTGCATATTAATGCATAGCAGTGTGTGTGTGTGTGTATGTGTACATAAATTAGATTCAATTCTTACCTTTGCTTCCTATAGATAAGGTATTTATTTCCTCTAGCTTCTTTCAGGAATTTTTCTTTATCTTTGAATTTCTGTAGTTTGAAAATGATATGACTAAGTATAGTTTTTGTTGTTTTATTTTGTTTTGTTTTGGGCATTTGCACTCCTCAACGTTCTCTGAGCTTCCTGGATCTGTAGTTTTGTGTCAGATATTTATTTGGGGAAGTTCTCAGTCATTAATGTTTCAGATATTTCTGTTCGGTCTCTATTTCTTCTCCTTCTGGTATTCCTATTACACATATGTTTCACCTTGTGTAGTTGTCCCATAGTTCTTTTTCTGTGGATTTTTTTCAGTCTTTATTCTGTTTGCTTTTTTTTTTTTTTTTTTTTTAAGAGAGAGAGGCAGGGAGGTTCAGAGGGAGAGAGAGAGAGAGAGAATCTTAAGCAGGCTCCATGCCCAGCACAGAGCCCAACATGGAGCTCGATATCACAACCCTGAGATCATGACCTGAGCTGAAATCAAGAGTTGGATGTTTAACCGACTGAGCCACCCAGGTGTCCCTCTGTTTGCTTTTAAGTTTTGGTATTTTCTATTAAGATCTCCACAAAGCTCAGAGATTCTTTCTTCAGCTATGTCTGGTTTACTAGTAAGCTCCTCAGGGACATTCTTCATTTCTATTAGGATGTTTTTGGTCTCTAGCACTTCTTTTGGATTCTTCTTCAGAGTTTCCATCTCTCCGCTATATGGCCCATCTCTCATGCTGTCCTATAGTGTTCTCACCATATTAATCATATACTTTAAAAAAATCATCCCTGCCTTCTCTGAATCTAGCCCTGATGCTAGTTCTACCTCTTCAAAATGATTGTTGCCTTGAGTATACCTCTTGATCCTGGGACATGATGTACTGGTTAGAAGGAACTGCTAAATATAGGCATTTACTAATGTGGTGGAATAGTGGGGTATGGAGAGGGTGCATTCAATAATCCTATCATTATGCCTCAGTCATTAGTAAGTCTGCACCCCTGGACTCTAAACTTCACCATTGTTTCTCGGGACTCCCCCCCTGAAATGAGTCAGGATGGTTGGAGTGGACTGGAGTTATATATTTGCCTTCTCTCACCTGGTAGTAAAGGGGGCTGGTTTGGATATCTCTCTGTACATTGAAAAGCCATTTTCACACACACACACACACACACACACACACACTCTGGCTAATTACTTTCTATTAGTTTTTAATATTTTAGTTCCTTTACAACTTAAGTCTAACCAGGAAAATTCTTTCTTTTTTTTTATTTATAAAAATAGCATTTATAACAGAAACTATTTATTCATCCATTTCATTGTTTTTTTAACTGAAACGTGTTTCCCAGCAGAGTAAAAGCTAGATGATGGAAGGGACTAGTTTGCTTTTCTTCACAGTTGTATCTCTCGGGCTTAGAATAGTGCCTGACTATGTAGGTGTTCAATAAATATTTATTAGCATAAATTAATGCTTGGGCGGACAAGAGTATAAGCATAGTTTGATAAAGTACAAATCATTCACCATTTTTATTAGATAAATGATGAGAATGCAAGATAAAGGTAAGTTTAATTTAAATGTATAAGAGCCAAATAATGGAATATTCTAGAACTTTACATGAATGACATTCTGTATGCCACTGACTTTAATTTCTCTTTTCTGGAACTTGATATTCTTTAAACAAGAATACTCTAAGTGTGTAATTAACATATTCTGTAAAAATCTGCACAGTCTTATAATTGTGATAACATGAAAGTACTAGTCTAAGAATACTTCCGATCATGTTTAGAGGCCAGTAGAGATCCAGTCCATCCAAATCAGTTATATTCTATTTCCCATTGTGATTTTATGTAACATTTTTGAGAAAAAAAAACTATAATATCTCCCCAATTCGAACAATGAATTTTTGAAAACAGAGTTGAAAACTATTTTCCCAAAGCAGGGGAAATGACAATATAAAAAGTTATGATGGATAACAAACACAGAATGAACGCCGTGTTTTCAACTTCCCAAGTCTTTAAGGTTAATTAAACCCAGCAGGACTTACACACCAAAGTGTTGATGGATAAACTACCAATTAATAGAGTGAAATAAAAATAAATGGCAGAACTTGAATATACCTCATTGTTTTGCACACAGTCACCAATATCCCTCCAGTTAATTAAGACAAAAACATGATTTCTCTTTCTTTCACCCCAAAGCCAAATCAATCAATAGTAGTTGACTCTTCCTCAGCTATATCTAGACTCCAAACATTTCTATCTGCCTATAGTACTACTACCTTGGTCCAAAAGAATATCATTTTTTACCTGGGGTATTTCAAGATCCTCCCACTCAATCTTTCTGATTCTAAATCTTTCCTCTGCACCTATCAACCTTCCAGTAATTCATTCTTCACAAGCAGCTAAAGTAATCTTTAAACACGTACTGGCGGTGCCCGGTTCGCTTAGTCAGTTAAGTGTCTGATCTTTGGTTTCGGATAAGGTCATGATCTCAGGTTGTGAGATCAAGCCCTGCATGGGGAGCCTCCTTGGGATTCTCTCCCTCTCCCTCACCCTCTTTTCCTATCCCAGCTCTCTCTCTCTCTCCCTCTCTCTCAAATAAATAAATAAATAAATAAATAAATAAATAAATAAAATCAATATAGCAATATAGCAATCAGTGTATTTATATATGATTATGCTATAAACACAGGGTTTTCTCAATATGCGGAAAAAAAGGCTAGAACTGAGTTTGGTATATATTTATTTAGTTAATAATACAATGTAAAAACACAGCAGGTTATTAAAAAGTAGACTTTGTTCTAATGAGGAAAGCAGGAGATACTGGATAGTGAATTGATCCCACTATGTTTACTATGGCACACATTACTATCCCATTCAAGTGTGAAGCAGAGCCTGATTTCTGTTTGTTCTTTGCTGTGTTGTGTCCAACAAGTAAGTAGGTGGCATTTTGATTGTGAAATGAATCTAATTTTTTTGAAATGAAAATGTATGTTATCTAATTTAGCATCTCATGAAGTGAAAATATCCCTTATAGAGAGTCCATAAGAAGTAGTCATAGACAAATTGCATAGTAGGATTGAAATAGGATTGGAGATGTAAACAAAACAAAACAAAACAAAAATGCAGCATGAAGAATGGATTTTCCTATATTGCTAAGCCTAGAAATTAATGCATGGGGCTCTACATGCCTAAATGTATGTATAGAAAGACAAATAGAAATGACTCAACAATAAAAAATAAATGAATTACTGATAAACAGAACACCACGAATGAACCTTAAAACATGATTGAATGAAAAAAGCCAGACACAAAAGAGTAAATATTACAGGAATCAATTTTTATCAAGTTCTATAGCAGCTAAAAGTTATTTATGATGAAAAGAATCAGACTAGTAGTTGCCTGGAGCAGGGGGAGGAATATGAGTTGTCTGGGTAGAAACATTAGAGAAATTTTGAGGATGGTGTTAAGTTTCTGAATTTTGATAGGGCTTGGGTTATACAGATATAAACGTGTCAAAACTCATCAAATAGAACACTTTATGAATTTTACTCTATGCAAGTTTTACCTAAAGAAAATATTAACAAAACTGCATGCAATGCTAGGCAAGTTGAACTGTGTAGGGTTAAGTGTACGGATACACTTTGGATTGAAGAATAGATAAATATGGGATAAGAGAAATATAATGAAATATCTTTTGGAGAATCCAAGTAGTTGATAAATGGGTGTTGGCTATAAAATTCTTTTAACTCTTTTGTATGTTTTAGACATGTAACAGAAAGACTGTAAGATTTAAAAGGTAAAAGAAATGTTCTTAATTCTTAAGAATAGTTATTTTTGATTACAGGGTTTAATATACACACATATGTATATGTATACAAACACACATACACATACACATAAACATTGTGTGTTTATATTATATGTGAGTGTGCATGTTCTCCTGTGCCTTCTAACTTTTTTATTTCATTGAGCCTATTGTACTTTTGAGATTAGGTTCAAATCTAGCAAAACACCACCAACCCAAACAAAAAGTATTAAAACCTCTTAGTTGTCCTTTCACATGACAAAGGAGTTCCCTATAGTACTCAGCTCTATGTATCTTCCTGGAATTCATATTCTAATTGAATGAGATGCTACAGAGAGTGCCAAATTCTAACATGTAGTCATCTTTTGATCAAAATTTGGAAGATTAAGTTCAGAATCCATACTAATGTATCGCATAGCACATATAACATCGCTATACAATCTCGAAACCTCTATTTAGTCATCTCCTGCACTTGAAAGAATTGGCATAATTTATGTTTTTACTCAGTTTACCCCAGTTTTTAACTCAGATTACTGTTGGTGTCCTTCTTTTATTCAATATAAACTGAAAAATGGTGGGAGAAATCATAAATACATTTGTACCACTGTCTATATTTCTATTTCTATTTCTTTTTTTCCTACTGCTATTTAAATCATGACTAATTATTTTTTGTGTGGATCCCATTTTAAGATTTATTTTTTAATAGTTCGGTTTCAAAAGCATTTGGCTCTACAACATGTTATATTTAAGGTCATACAGACTTAAGATCGGAAAGCAGACAGTACAGTGTCCAATGGTCTTGGAGTTGAGCTCTTTACTCTGCTCAGGAAAAAAGTCCCCGAACCAAGTCTGCAAGCTTGACTATAGCACTTTTTTTTTAAGATTTTATTTATTTATTTGAGAGAGAGAGAATGAGATACAGAGCACATGAGAGGGAGGAGGGTCAGAGGGAGAAGCAGACTCCCTGCCGAGCAGGGAACCCGATGCGGGGCTCAATCCCAGGACTCCAGGATCATGACCTGAGCCGAAGGCAGTCGCTTAACCACTGAGCCACCCAGGCTTCCGACTATAGCACTTCTGTGATGTAATGCGCTGTGAGTATCTGCTACTTACAGGTATGCAGCTTTTCCTTCTTCGAGTTCTTTACTTTTCCCGCTAGAGCCACTCTTCTTCCCGCACATTCTCCTCGTGATGCACATCAATAACCCACATTGTCTAATAAAGAAGCAGCTGACGTCCGTTACCACAAGGATTAGCAAGAGTGCCGCCACACCCAGGCCAATGACTGCTCCGAGCCCAAGACCATTAAAAAGCGTATCTTAAAAAATAAAAGAAAATGATTTTACTAAGCTCCAAACTGGAAAAAATAGACAGTTATTTTGAAAATAAATCTTAACTGAAGAGACAGGAAAAAAGTGATGGTCACTGGCAAATTTTAATCCCATAATTGTTGGGAACCATTCTCTGGCTTTTGAACAATATTTTAAGCAACGGACATGTGAATGATTTGCAATATTTTTTCAAACTTTATTTAGGAAGAAAACTCTTAAGTAGCTCTCTTTCCAATATACTTTTTGATTCCCCGAGGGGAAGATAGTGAATATTATCACATCCCCAACTGTACTGTATCAGAAAGTCACAACCATTAATGGATCACCACATTGCTAGAAGGAAAATACAGTCAAAACTCCTGTAAGAAAAGATTAAATGAATGTTCTATACGGAATTATCTTAGTTTTAAGTCTTAAACTTGCAAATTATGTCTGCTCCAAGCACTTTGTTTTGACAGAGAACACATTTTAAAATATCTGTATATGAATATTTTGAGAATCATAATTTTAGAATAAATGGTTTCCTTGTATTTTTTTCAGTTAATATTTTAATAAATCACATTAGACTAGAGGCAAACTTTTGCAGAGCTACGGTACTTGTGACCTTTCCGAAGCTTATCATGGGAAGGTAGGGGACGATGGGAGCCATTTTCCCTTGATGTGTGGTTGCAGAAATTCCTGAAAGTCATACAGAAATTATCCATGGAAAAGATGACTGGGAATAGGATAGAATATGCTGATTAAGCAGAAATAGCAAGGAGGAGAGTGGTAGTGAAGATGAATCAAGTAGTTGTAGATGTGGGTAGACTACACAGCCACATCAGTGTTGGCACAAAAATAAGCACCATGGAAAGAGATTAAACTGGAGATGCTGTGTTATCTAGAGGGAAAAGAATAGGATTCTTATAAGACAATTTTAGAGAATTACTCGAAATGATTCTTTTTTAAAAAACTTTATTTGACAGAGAGTGCACACACAAGCAGGGGGAGCGGCAGGCAGAGGGAGAGGGATAAGCAGGCTTCCCACCTAGCCTAGCTGGGAGCCCCACATAGGGCTCGATCCCAGGACCCTGGCATCATGATCTGAGCCGAAGGCAGACGCTTAATCCACTGAGCCATCCAGGCACCTCTATTTAAAGTGATTCTTAACCCAATTATGTTAACATGTGTATACATAACATTATAAAATTATAATTCTCCTTTTTAATGATAAAATGCATTTATTACTCAGCATCATAATGGCATCTTAATAATATAAGAGATGTGTAATGCAAGTGACAGACAGGGACAGATGCAGACTTGATTTGGAGAAAACCACTTCTGAAAAAATACATATGTAAAACAAAGTTTTTCTAAGTTATATTTTTAAAATTCGGTGTAATATTTTAATAATGACTTGAAGAGATTGTGATCTAAAGGAATCGATATAACTTTTTATTTTAAATCAATAAGCTGGTGCTGAATGACGACACACCTGTCTGAATCTTAGTTGATTTTTCTTTTTTTTTTTTTAATTTTATTTATTTATTTGACAGAGAGAGACACAGCGAGAGAGGGAATACAAGCAGGGGAGAGGGAGAAGCAGGCTTCCCGCAGAGCGGGGAGCCCGGTGCGGGGCTTGATCCCAGGACTCTGGGATCATGACCTGAGCCGAAGGCAGACGCCTAACGACTGAGCCACCCAGGCGCCACCTCTTAGTTGATTTTTCTACTGAATGACTGAGCCTCGCATCTATATTTATCTCCCCCCCCCACCCAGGAAACACATGTTTTATTAAAAAAAAATCATTCTATCCATGACATCTTTCCTGGCACTTTCCCCAGCGACTCTGTGGTTGACCTGTGCTAAAACATGGAGGTTCTTCTACAGCATCTCCGTGAAGTTACAGGTGAGAATTCCTTAAGTATTGAATCAACAAACTTACAGCCCCCATGCCCAAGCAAGTATACTTTTGATTGTAATTCTTTTATTTCTGATAAAGAAAAACAGGAGACAAACATATAATTGTGTTAGAGGAAAATTAATTTTTTCCTGCCATTTTCAGAATCCCCGTTCCCCATCAAACTTTACCATACTACTTAGGTAGTGATAGTTTAGGAAAATTGCCTAGCTAAGATCCAGAGAAATTACTAGTTTCCATAGCACTGTTCTCATATCACATGAACCCACTTTGAGGAAAGACTGAAGAGACAATTAAAAATCATTTTATACATTTTCTTCCATTATCCATTTTTAAATATATAAATGAGTCTTACCTGAATGTACCATTACAATATAATAAGGACAATTCACCTAATGAAATTTCTTTGACTACATGTCAAGCTAAATTTTTTTTTCAAAATCCACAGGAATTCATTTTGATATACTGCACATGATTCAACTACCAAAGCTCAGAAAAGAGGAGTTGAAATTATGAATCTGATTGGGCATTAGACCCTCTGGACATATTGACTCAATAATCCTGTGCTTTAAACCAGTCACTCCTCTTCCACTTCACTTAGGTCCTTCTCACATGCAGAACGGTTCTAGACAATAAATCCCACAGATCAACGATGATCTACCTGGCCCATTATTAGATCTTCATTTACCTTTTTTTTTTTTTTCCTAAATGTAAGTTCCACACCCAGCATAGAGTCCAATGCAGGGCTTGAACTCACAACCCTGGGATTGAGATCTGAGCTGAGATCAAGAGTTGGACACTTAACCCTCTGAGCCAACAGGCACCCTTTTATTTACCTTTTTTTTTTAAGTATGAAGAGACTGGCTTTCTACTTAAATGCACTGAACCTGGTGTCCATCACATATTGCTGTAAAATCTTGGGTGAGGCAGCTAAATTCTCTAAGACTGAGATGCCACTTTATTAAAATGAGGGCAATTACAGAAACAGCAACAATCACAAACTAGATCATAGGGTTTTTGGAAAGACTGTTGTGAATATAATAATGTACTTAATACCTCTATCACTTATTGCTCAGGTCAGAGTAAAAATCTAACAAGTATTGGCAATAGTATTATTATTATTATTATTATTATTACTACTACTACTACTACTATTATTTTGCTATTGTAAAATACTAGGGAAATGAGGTTTTGGTGGAAAAAATAGACCATCTAAAGTTAAACTAGTCTATGGACGCCTGGGTGGCCCAGTTGGTTAAGCGACTGCCTTTGGCTCAGGTCATGGTCCCGGAGTCCTGGGATCGAGTCCCACATCGGGTTCCTGGCTCGGCGGGGAGCCTGCTTCTCCCTCTGACCCTCTCCCCTCTCATGCTGTTTCTCTCTCTCTCTCTCTTTCTCAAATAAATAAATAAATAAAATCTTAAAATATAGATATTTAAAGTTAAACTAGTCTATAAACATATTTCTTTCATCAGCACCCTAAGGTGGGACACGATCTCTTATTAAACACTGATTATTCTCTTGAGAATACAGTCATTTTTACTTATGTTTAGCTAGTTAGCTTTTAAATGATAAATATTTTATTTGTGACCCTTTTAGCACTAAACCAGCATATCGCTCTGCTTCATTTCCATCTTTAGAAAAGCTCTTAGAAACATTATATTTGTAAAGCACCTTATGGTAAAGGAATATTGATGCTAAAATAGCTATTACTTTTTTTTTTCCCCTAGGGAAACAAAATTATACCTTTTAAACTCATGATTATAAATGTTGAAGGTTACTTGAAGTTATTTTTATGGAAAACCAAATTTGTTTTGTCATTGCAGAGAATAGGATGTATAGCAAGTAGGTTTATGTAATAGATATTTAATTTTCTTTTAAAAGTTATGTTTTTTTTAATTGGCTTAAGAATGTATTTAAATGCTAATATTTTCTCACATCCCATGAAGTTAGGCTATAATAACTATGAAAGCCAAATTTTCTAATTTTTTTTTTTCTGACACCTATTTATTCTGGTGGGGAAGTTTACTTATTTGTCTTTGGCTTTTTCACAGACAAAATCATGACCACATGTAAAATTACATCACTAGGATTTGGGGACTAACAATGATTTATTTTTTCAGTAACATACAGAAAATACTTTCTTTTTAAGTTAATTCGTTTTTTTTTTTTTAAGATTTTTTATTTATTTGTCAGAGAGAGAGAGAGCACAAGCAGGGGGAGTGGGAGAGGGAGAAGCAGGCTCCCTGCTGAGCAAGGAGCCCGATGTGGGACTCGATCCCAGGACCCTGGGATCATGACCCGAGCTGAAGGCAGACACTTAACCGACTGAGCCACTCAGGCGTCCCTCAATTACAGTTTTAATTATTGAATTAATTGAGACTGAACATAGCAATCATTTAAAGGATTTTAAGTTCAACTTTTCTTTTTTAGCTTTCCAGAATATTTACACATGTGTTTTACAATATATGATATTTTATGATAATTTTTACAACTCCATCACATAGGAAAACAATGTTATCAGCTCTACTTTACAGATAAGGAAATTGAGGTCCAGAGAGGGCAGTGGCCTAAGTCACAGGATAACCCTTGATATTAGATTAGTACAAATGAAGACTATGTAGCTTCAGGTTTTATATTGTTTATACCTGTGTTAGATTTATGTTGTGTATCATCAAATAATCAGGAGAGGAATAACATAGTAAATAAATTAAAATGTGTAGTTTCTTACAGAAAAGTGTCCATTTTTCCCCTATACTGCTAGACAAGGAACAACTATTTAAATGATGTACAATAATATAAATAATTTTTTTATGTATTCTTGCTATTAGCTCTTTGTACTGCTCTTTGAAAAAGGGAATTTTATATTAGAATTTAATAAGAATAAATAATTTAGGAATTATAAAGTTTAAACATTTATTTTTTGGTATATATTTTATTATTGAAAGCAAATAGGAGAATCAGGCTGACTGAATTTCTATAACTTTCCTCCCACCTGACCTTCTGTCACATGAGATTTAGAAATTGGCAAGCTGAATCAATACAAGTCCCCAGACCTTTGTGTAATTACATCTTAACTGAAATAAA